CTTCTCGACCGGCTCACCAAATCGGCTCGTCTTTATACATATAATATCCTATATCAATATATATATATATATTTCTCCATTGAAATACTTTTATTATTTTGTATATAAATGATGACATATTTTGTCATTGATTACATATTACTTTTATGAGAACACAAATTTGACACTAGTATTTGTAATATACTATTAATGAAGACTTTACAAGTTGTCATTATTAATAATTATATTAGTGACGACAGTTAATTCTCATGAGATGAAAATAAATATTTAGTGACAAAAATAGTTGATATGGCATCTAAAAATGCAACGTGGAAAACGTGTGATATAAGTTGGCCGACCGAGCTGACCTTGCTCGGCATACCTATAATGTTTAGGGAGCAGGAACGAGTTCGCCCGCATGTCGAGGTATATTCAACATATAACTGGGGGTCATAAGTTCGGATAGCTGGGTCATAATCCCGACCTTGACGAGCTAGTATTGATGGTAAACGCGATGGGCGTGCGAGCGAACTTAGTATGATTTTTAGAATACCATTTTAATTACAGACTTAGTATGAATTTTTAGAATATCATTAGAGTGTTTCTTTAAATCCGGATAAGTTATCAGTTAAAGTCAAGCATCCTAGAATTATATTGAGTATATGACCATAGTACTTATATATTTGTTTTCAATTTTCAAAACTTTTCAAGAACAAAAGGTGGGGACTCAGCCTGGGTATTACATTGACTATAATATTGATATCATGTCTGAGGTATGTATGTGGAGATTTACCCGAACGATGGAGTTATTCCTTTCGAGGTCCAAATTAAGATGACTCGGTCTTGTATGGAAGTTTAGCCATCCTGAGTCACTCGACCAGTGGGTTCTGTGGGAGGCTTGCTTTGGCTTCGCCCTATCTTGCTGGCGCGGACCCCCAGAATGTGATCACTTGAGAACCGGCCAGTTATCAGTAGTTGCACAGTTCAGTTACAGTTGTTGGTCAGATACCGGAGATTAAGTTCAAATATATATTGATGATCATGATATTGATATTATTATTGGTGTTTACATTAGTCTGGGTTTTTATCGAGTACAAGAGGATCAGTACTCACCCACATTATGTTTTTTCAGGTAACAGGTCAGTCCGGAGGTGTGAGCTCAGAAGTGGTGGTGATTGTCGTGCATTTGTTTCAGTGGACATTTATTTTATGGACTTTTTATGTATGTATAATTATTCACGCTTTTAAGACTTTTCCGCTACGCATTTAAGTTTAAAACTTCCATATTTAGTATTTTTCATATTTATAGATTTTAACCGGTTCGCCAGTATGAACATATATTCAAATTCACATTAATTTCTTGAATCAAATATATTTTGTAGATTACACTATTTTTTCCACTAATTCTTCACACGAATGATTTTTTAAGTCTTAGATCGAAATCTACGGGTTGATCTTCTCCTTGGCTTGATTTGAATTGAATTAACGTTAATTTAAGGGCCAACGCCTTGATTTCGGATCAAATGCCATTATATTCCAAGATCGTGAAGAACACGAGTCCTTGGTGTTTGTCGTAAAGTAAATCTTCAATGTTCTCCGTGCTGGTTTTGAGTTTACTAACGCAATCCGGAGGCTTTGCCACTTGTTTCCTAATTTTAGGCCAGTCTTGAGGTTGAATGCGTTTAAATCTTGCTTCGAATCATCAAGATCGCCTTTGAATCTTCAAGAACACTTGAATCTCACTAAAAGATATTTCTAGAGCTCCTGAACGTATGATTTGCGATCTCTTTGGCTTAGGGAGAGTCCCTATTTATAGATGTATAAGGCTAAATTAGTTTTTTGGTCCCATAAGTGACACCGATTTTGGTTCTAGTCACGAGAAATTTGACTTTTTGAAAATCGTCCTGTAAGTGATAAAAAATTAGCTTTTTGGTCCTCTGACCGCCTATAGCAGGTCAGAATGACCGGCTTGCCTACATGGAAATTCTACTTATTTTTCTTTTTTTGCTGAGTTGTTAAGCTAAGTGGCGGATTATATGGCTTAAATGCAAAAAATTGGACTTAGGGAGATTCGAACCCTGCACCTCTTGAGAAATAAGGACCTTCAACCACTTGATCTACAAGATCACTTGTAAAAAATGTGGCTTCAAATATATATATCTTTAGGTCAACATCATTCTATTAAAAAAACAAATAATAATAATAATAATAATAATAATAATATTTAAATGATTACGAAATTAAAATATGTAAACTGAATAAATAGATAAATAACACTACACTATGTAAAATATATATATTTAATATATTTATTTATGTTATTAATATATTTATTTAATTAAGTATGTTAAATAATATGAAAGTTAAATAAGAAAAGGTAATTAAATAATATAATATTATTTATTTATTTATTTGACTTATTTTATTTACTTAATAACTAATATTTAATAAATGTGGTTAAAAATTATAATTAAGAGAAATAGAAATTTTGTTTAAAACCGCCTTTAATTAAATTTTATTGTATAATAAATAAATATATATATTAAATAAATATTATTATAAAAAATAAAAATGTAATAATATGAAATAAAAAAATATATTTAAATAAATAAATAAATATTTAAAAGTTAAAAATATTTCTATTTAAATAAATAAATATTTAAAAAATATATTAAATATATATATATATATATATATTTTTTTTTTTGGCCAGAACGATAGAGATCTTATAAATAAAACGGGAACACAGTTCAACTACAAGAGGCAAAATCCTACTCGAGAAAGAAAAAATGAGAAGTACTACGGAGAGTACTTAGAACCTCAACCCAAGAAGAACTAAAATAAACAAGATATGCCACTTTCCACTGCCAAAGCCTAGCTAGTACCATATCTTTAAAAAGCAAAACAAAAACAAAGAAACAAAAACTGATGAAGCAGCCAAAAACTACCAAGGACTAAGAGGAAGAGTAGTCCATCCAATCTTTATGGGCAGCTGCATTAACAATGTGCTCAGGCATGAGAGAGTTCTTGAATATCCACAAGTTGCGGGATCTCCAAAGCCACCATAACAAGTAGGTAGACAATTGGATCATTGCTTGCACCACATCAGATTTTTTGATTTTACTAACTTGCTGCCACCAGTGTTTGAAGTTAGAAGTATACTGGAGAAGGCCATCCCATTGTACAGGAGAAGTGTCCCAGATTCTTTTGGCTCTAGAACACAGAAATAGTATATGCTCTGTTGTCTCAGGGTGCTCTCCACAGATTGTACAGATGGGGCTGATGTCCACTCCTCTCTTCCTAAGATTTGCTGCATTGGGTAGAGTACCAAAAATACATTTCCAAATGAAATGCCTAACCTTGCCAAGAATCTTCAATTTCCAACACCTTTGGAAAATTTGATGAGGAGCCACAACGATGGAGCTTGACTCAGGAATGTCTAACTCCAGAAGCTTTTGAGCAGCAAGAATTCTATAAGTACTTGAGACAGAGAATTGACCTTTGGAGTCAGGACCCCAGTGCCATCTATCTGATCTAACAGGGTTTAAGGATTTGATTTTTAAAATAGTAGCACTATCCTTAGAGTCAAACACCTGCTTAATCAACCAATCGTTCCACTCCAGTCCATTGCTAGCCATCAGATCTTTAACCCACACAAGGTGATCTTATTCTATCAGCACTTCTGGCAACTGATCAAAGCAGATGTAATGGCTGCAAACCTCAGCTTTTTCCAATCAGGGATGCTGCTAAGATATTGGAATCACACAATTCTTTCCTTGATTCCCAAAGTGGCTCAACCAGATAACATGAACCAATTCAGGCCAATAAGTTTGTGCAGTGTCATCTATAAGACTCTCTCAAAAGTTCTTGCACAGAGATTGACGATCTGTTTAAATGATTGTATCAGCCCTTATCAGTCAGCCTTTGTTAAGGGAAGACAGCTCATGGATAACATCATAATTGCTCAAGAGGCCTTTCACTACCTGAACAGACACTCCTCTAGGAAGAACTTCTTCATGGCACTCAAGTTGGATCTCATGAAAGCTTTTGACAGGGTTGAGTGGACAAGTATTCATAGAATCATGGTTCAGATGGGATTTCACTCAAAATTAATGGCAAGGTCAGTGGTAACATCACACCCTCTAGAGGAATCAGACAGGGGGACCCACTGCCCCCCTATTTATTCAATATTGTAGCTGAACTGCTTTCTGCCATGATCTCTCACTCTCAACTTGAAGGCATAATTTCTGGACTCAAATTATCAAGAAATGGACCTGTTATTTCACACCTCCTATTTGCGGATGACTCTTTGCTTTTCTGCAAAGCTGGAGTGGATCAAGCTCTTTACTTATTGTCCCTGTTAGAGAAATACAGACTCTTCTCGGGTCAGAGGGTTAATCTTAAAAAATCTGGGATCTTCTTTAGCAGGAACACCCCTCAAACCTTGATGGATAGAATCTGTAATGTCACTACAAGAAAAACTGCATTTGGCGACGCTTATTTTTTTGTTTACTGACGCTTATTGGCGAGTTGTGTTGCTAAATTTGATGTCAGAAAAAAAATAAGCGTCAGTAAACAAAAAAAATAAGCGTCGCCAAATGCAGTTTTTCTTGTAGTGTGTGTTGAATGGTATAGTTCCCACAGATCCACCAGGTACCTTGGTTTGCCTTTGGGAATTGGCAGGTCAAAGAAGGAAGTTTTTGACTACATCTTAGAAGCTATCAGAGGCAAGCTGCAAGGTTGGAAAACTAAGCTTCTATCATCAGCAGACAAAGAAGTGTTAGTTAAATCTGTCCTTCAAGCCTTGCCTGTTTTCTCAATGACCTGCTTTAAGCTTCCAGTTTCAATCTGCAAAGAGATTTCTAAGTTATGTGCTAAATTCTGGTGGAAGAATGAGGACACCTCTGATTCTGGCATTCACTGGAGGAAATGGGACAAGATCACCCTTCCAAAACTTCTGGGAGGCTTGGGCTTTCATGACATAAGCCTATTCAATGAGGCTCTCACCTGTAAACAACTCTGGAGAGTTGCAACTAACCCGGAGCTGCTTGTGAGTAGGATCTTAAAAGACAGATATTTCCCAAATGATTCAATTCTAAGGGCTGAGAAGACCCAAAAAGGTTCATGGTTTTGGAATAGTTGGTTGCCTGTGCTCCCCCTTTTTTCTAAGTGCTTGAGAATTGAAGTTAGGAATGGCCTTTCTACCAGAATAGATGACCCCAACTGGGTAAATATTTAAAAAAATATATTTAAATAAATAAATAAATATAATTAAATGATAATAAAAGTTTAATAAAACAAGGTAATTTAATTAAATAAATAAATATATTTAAATAAATAAATATATTAAATATATATAATATATTTACATAAATATATTTATTAAAAATATAAATATTAATTAATATTAAATAAATATATTAAATAATATATTATTATTTTATTTATCTCATTTTCTGATTTTAATTCCGTAATCAATTCATATTTACTAAATAAATTATGCATAAATTTTATAATTAAAAGTTGTATAAATTAATATATTATTTAATATATGTAATATATTTATTTGTTAAATAATTATTTTATTTTATTTAATATTTTTTTTATTTAATTTTTATTATATTTTTATTTCATATAATAATATTTCATTTAATATATATATATATATATTTATTTAATATAAAATAAAATTTAATTAAAGGCGGTTTAAACAAAATTTCTATTTCTCTTAATTATAATTTTTTACCCACATTTATTAAATATTAGTTAATAAGTAAATAAAATTAGTCAAATAAATAAATAAATAATATAAATAAATAATTATATTATTTTATTACCTTTTCTTATTTAACTTTCATATTATTTAACATACTTAATTAAATAAATATATTAATTACATAAATAAATATATCAAATATATATATTTTAAATAGTGTAGTGTTATTTATCTATTTATTCAGTCTACATATTTTAATTTTGTAATTATTTAAATATTATTATTATTATTGTTGTTGTTGTTGTTGTTATTATTATTATTATTATTATTATTATTATTATTATTATTATTATTATTATTATTTTAATATTATGATGTTGAATTAAAGATATATATATTTGAAGCCACATTTTTCATAGTTAACCTTATAGATCAAGTGGTTGAAGGTGTTTATTTTGCCCAAGAGGTCAGGGTTCGAATCTCCCTAAGGCCCACTTTTTGCATTTAAGCCATATAATCCACCACCTAGCTTAACAACTCAGTAAAAAAAAAAAAAGTATAATTTCCACGTAGGCAAGCCAGTCATTCTGACCTGCTATAGGTGGTCAGAGGACCAAAAAGCTAATTTTTTTTTCACTTACAGGACGATTTCCAAAAAGTCAAATTTCTCGTGACTAAAACCAAAATCGATGTCACTTATGGAACAAAAAAAAAAAAACTAATTTAGCCGATGTATAAGAGAGAACCCTACAAAATTTATAAATCGTATGACGCGATTTGATTGGTCATGATAATTCACATAAAATATTCTGGATCTACTTAAATCTTCCAAAATCTTCTAGAAGACATGTGATTTATTTATCAAGAAATAAGATTTGACACTTGACATTATTTGATTGATCAAAAATTAAAATATCAAAATATCAAATAATTAACTCCTAAATTAAATTTATAAAAATTCATAAACAAAATGACTTCATTTTTAACATAATAATTTCTACGTGGCGCATTTGATTGGCCACAATTTTTTTTTTTTTTTTTTTCTTTTTTTATCTTAATTAGTTTGTAATCCGTGGTCCAGTGGGACCATGAGCTGATCCATCAAATGTTCAACCATGTGGATGCAACAAACATTCTAAATATTCACATAAGCCACAGAGGGGTGCAGGACAGGTTGGTTTGGCATTTTGACAAACAAGGGAACTTCTCTGTCAAGGAGGCTTACAAACATATCCAGAGGATGAAGGGTGATAGCAAGGGGAGGGTGGAATCTAGCTCTACAAGAGAAAGGCTGCAGAACATGTGGAAGTATACCTGGAGCCAAAACATTAAGCCAAAAGTCAAGAACTTTCTCTGGAGGTGCTATCACAATTGGATGGGAACAAAAACAAACTTAACAGCTAAAGGAGTGTTGGGTGATGTGATTTGTGACTGGTGTGGGGAAGGAGAGGAGGACATAAATCATATTATGTTCACCTGTGAGAGGGCAAGGAAGATATGGAAGCTAGCTGGTGCCATTTGGAACACAAATCAGAGGAAAGATGCAAATTTTCAGGAGTGGTGGCAGGAGGTGTGTTCAATGCCTGATAATGCTCAAAACAAAGACAGAATCTCTTTGTCCACATACCTATTATGGTGGATGTGGAAGACGAGGAATAGCTGGGTGTTCAATAAGGTTAGCAGCTCAGAGGTTGATGTTGTGACTGGGGCAAAATTGGAGTGGGATGAATTTGAGGATGTTCAAGCAATGAAGAAACAAACTGGTAGGAGGACATTGCAGAGCCAAGGGCAAATGGCTTAAGGGAGGCAAAGGGTAGGGATACATGAAAATGTAGCCAGTGCTCATGTCTGTCTAAGTCAGAATGCCCATACTAGAGTTGAGGTGGAGAATCCAGAACCTGAAATCCATAAGCTATGTTGTTCTAAGGGTGCCTCGAAGCATTCAGTGGAAGCAGTGCTGTTGGACATCAGGAAATGGCTGGAAAATGGGTGCAGATTGGGATGGCAAAGAGCTCAAATTTCCATTAAAGACAAGCAGTTGCTCTCATTGCTGTCAGAATATCCCAATTCTAGGAATGGATACTTTTAAATTTGCTAACAAAAATGTCTAAAAATCTTAATAATATTATCTTAATTTGTTCGTAATCCATGGTCAGAATATCCCAGCACTCTAAATGGATACATTGAAATCTGCTAGCAAAAATGTCTAATAATCTAAATAATATTATCTGGTAATTAAGGTAAAATATCCAAATAATATGAATGCATATATACTTTGAAAATAGGCTGAAAAAAAGTATCAAAAAATCTCAATAATAAATAATATTGTTCAAATATAATCGCATAACCTGCACCTATAAATATACCCGAGAAAATAAGTTATTATCATCACAGACCCAAAAAACAAAAATGGATGAACCTAATTGGAGCCCTTATCCCCCTTGTCAGTCTTCCCTGTGTGCAAGTGTCATGTGCTGCAGTTTTCATCACAAGTACAGGGTGACATGGCCTGAGCTGGTTGGTGCTGAACCACAAAAGGCAAAGGCTGTCATTGAACATGACAATCCCTATGTATCAGCCGTTATTCTGCACCGAGGGGAGGCAACACTCGACGATTTCTGCTGCAATCGGGTTTGGGTCAAGCTTGACGCAAACAATCGTGTCTTTATTGTTCCTCAAGTTGGTTAATGAATGAATATTTATTCATATTATATTTAATCA